TATGCGGATCAAGATAAATGACTTCTTATTCTGCCTTTGCACAAGCCAATGCGCAAAGTGGCAGACGTCGCTTTCTGAGTTCAGCAAAGCACACAGCCGTTTGTACATCTGATCTGTGTTTCAATACGATCCTCCTCGACGCATGTACTGTGCTAGTCCTGATGGTGTATAGTGCATGGTTGGTATTAATGGACATTTGCAACTACGCTAAACCTGTAACCTGGAGATTGCGAACATATAGATAAAGTATCGAGTGGGGTCGGGGTGGGGGGGTTGAAGCCATTCTGTTCTTGAATGTATTCAAATGCATATAGCGGTTGTGGACCCCTGAACTCACATATGCACGGCAACGGGAGTGGTATCTCGATGTAGTCTACGTTCGCGTTACCGGAGGTAGTACGCAGATACTCTGAACACACCAGAGCTGCACTCGTCTATTGTATGTGTATACGCAAAATTCGATATCGCGATTCGCATTCCTCTGTAAACACCTACCTACGTTACGCTCACCCACGAACGCCTACCCACCACCACAGGAGAGAATCGACTGGGACGGCGAGGTCTACACACAGCAACACGACCCGAACTCACCCATCTACAGCAAACTCAACTCATTCGAAGAACTAGACCTTACCGATGCCCTGCTCAAAGGCGTGTACGCCATGGGCTTCAAGAAGCCTTCCAAGATCCAGGCCACAGCCCTGCCCATGATAGTGGACAATAAAGGAGGAGTGTTCAAGGACCTCATTGCCCAGTCACAGTCGGGGACGGGTAAGACTGCGGCGTTTGTGCTGGGCATGTTGTGCCGTGTGGATCCTGAAAGGAAGACGGCGCAAGCCATCTGTCTCAGCCCTGCCAGAGAACTCGCACGCCAAACGGCCGAGGTACGGCGGTGGGGTGTAGCATACGGTGGATGTCAGTGTGTGTAGATTACAATCAACTGTGTGTGTGGCTGAGTATAATGGTGTGGGGATATGTATTAGTGTGTGACATACTGTGAATGTCAGTGTGTGTAGCTTACAATCAACTGTGTGTGTGGGTGTTGTGGTGTGGGGATATGTATTGGTGTGTGGCATACTATAAATGTCAGTGTGTGTATCATACAATCAACTGTGTGTGTTGGTGTTGTGTTGTGGGGATATGTATTCGTATGTGACTTACAGTGAATGTCAGTGTGTGTAGCTTTCAATCAACTGTGTGTGTCGGTGTTATGGTATGGGGATATGTATCGGTGTGTGGCACACTGTGGATGTCAGTGTATGTGTGCGTGCAGTTGATAAGGGTATGTCGCATGCAGGGGAGTGTGTGTGTGGTTTCTGAGACGATAAGTATACGAAGTACTGGGTGCGGATGTATCCATGTAGGGGTCTGTGGCATAACACTGCGTGTGCGTGTGTGTGTGTGTGTACGTGTAGATGCACAGTGGCGTGTCTGATTAGCAAGCGAATGAGCGTGTATGTGTAGGTGTTGGGGTGTCTAGCAGATGACCTATATGTGCTTAAATGGCTTGTATGCATGCATGTTCTTTCATCACGAGAGTTTTCTTACGGGTTTGTCGGTCGTGTTCTCCTCACTCATAAACTTATTTCGTCGTAATGTTTGGGTCGGCTTCTGGTGCCTACGCACTTATTCCGTCACGTGTTCCTTATTATCTCACCACTTCATTGCTTATTTTCTCACTACTTTTCCCTGCTCCCTCACCTCTCCAGGTAATCCAAACCATGGCCAAATACACGGACGTCGATTGTCTGGTGGCTGTTCCTGGTATGCGCACACTTGCAAGGGGCGAGAAGGTGAAAGAACATGTGATCATTGGAACGCCGGGGACTATCGCCAAGCTGTTCAAATCCAGGGCAATCGATGCTCGTTGGATCATACAGCTCGTGGTAAGTGAGTGACTGGTTTTGTTGACTATTCCCAAGCTCGCCAATCCCAGAGCAGTCGATCTTTCCTGGATCACACAGCTCATGATAAGTGGCTGTGTGTGTTGTTTAGGATCTCATTGTGTTCGGATTTCAGCAGCTAGGACTGATTGCTAGGTTTTTCATATTAAGAACTCTACATGCCAGCTGAAGCGTACAGCTTGTGGCAAGTACTTGTGTGTGTGTACATGCATACAGTGTGAAGTTCGGTACATCCGGGGCAATTGCCTAGATGTTGAGTCCTGAGTCATGGGTGCACCTGGGATTCTGCATCTCGTGGTAGGGCGGTGTGTGTGTGTGTTGTTGTTGTGTTGTATGATTTTTAAGTACTAACAACAGACATGAGAACTGTGCCAGTTTGCGTTAGTTATTACGCGCTGAAATATATTTGGCCTGTGGAGTATGGCCTATGTTTTAATAATATGGTCAGAACTATAGGGCTCACCAAGTCAGGAATGGACAAGTGGACTGCATGCCGCAAGAGTACTGGGATATATCCTCCATGCGTCGGAAATAATTTTTTAATTGATTTAAAACATGTCGTTAAATACACTGACAAGCCATACGTTCCTACAGTTTGATGAGGCTGATGAGATGTTCCAACGCGGTTTCAGGGACGACTCAGTGCGCATCAAGAAGGCCCTGCCACGAATGCACCAGACGTTACTGTTCAGCGCAACGTACCCGCCAGAGGTCAGTCTTAAAGGTGTATAGGCGCATTCTGTATGTATATATAAGGATACTATGCACGCGTATATATGGTATATAATTGTATGTGTCCTGACTGACAGTGGTTGGGGTTGGTAGTATCTGTAGAGACGAAGGAAGACCGTGTAGTGTACTCACTGTGATACAACTGTACAAGAAAAACTAGGTGTATTGCATATTCTTGCATAACAAATGTTCCAAAAGAGGCTGTACACTAGATATGCGGTTCTTGTTAATATATTCACAGATCGAAGTTAGTGTGTGTCGCCATGAATATATGATCCTTACTATGTATGATCTTACTATACCCCTCCTTGATCTTTTTTACGTCTAAAAAAAGGGATAAAACTCAATCATATTTTGCGTTTCCGTTCAACGTATCTTGGTAAAAGCGTATAACTATTTCCGCTACCATTCGTGTGTGTTCTCATCGCGTGCACAATTGTCCATGCACAGTAACCTTTCAATATACGACCAATCCACCCACCAACCATAGAGTTTGGCTTGGCCCATCTTCTCTGTGTAACTCCTTGCCAGTCATTTTCGTTTCGTTTCGCTTTGCACCGAATCCTCCTCCTCGCTGTACTACAGGTCATCGTATACCACAACATCTAAGTCTGTTTATGTGTTAGTGTATTAACGGCTTGACCTGTTTATTTATCTGCCTACAGTATCATGTTCAATGAGTGCATTCATATTACCCACATCAGTCGCTTGATGATTTACGTATAATACGTATACTCCGGTATGGTCACATGGGCCCTGTCTCTGAATATTATTGCCTCCAATTCACGTTTACGTAACTCCACAGGTGAGTCAGTTCGTCTCGCGGTATCTGAGACACCATAACGAGGTGCGGCTCAAGAAAAAGGATTTGACTTTGGACGCCATTCAGCAGGTATGACAAATAAGTTAAACCCTAAAACGCCTAAAACCCTAAATCCGAATAGGTATGGCAACTGGTTAAACCCTAAACCCTAAAAGCCCTAAACCCAAATCAGCATGGCAAATGTAGTTTCCGTTAAGTCAGTTCAGTTACGAGGGTGCATGTTGATAGCGGAACACTCGTGTGTAGCATAGTGCTCTGCGTCACTTCACACGGTGGTAGTCATAGCAACATTTGTGCATGTTGATAAGGGCTTGGCACTTGCGTGTAGTATACTGTGAGAAGTCTTAATTCATTATAGGAAGGATCTGAGAGTGTAAGCTTTTTAGAAGGTATTATGAACCTTGTGTTGCACAAAGATGTGCATATCCAGCAGGGTTCGATACAGAACGGCAATTACCATATACGGCCAAAGCCACGGATGGCCTTATGCGGCGTTTGATACCAGGAATAGCTGTGCATAGTATTTATCATTACTATTGTTACGTAAACTCGATCTCTAATTCTGCACAACACACTATATGTCCATTTCTAACTCTAAACACAAATGATACACACGCCCACTTGCCGTCAGTGTTCAATCGACTGTGAGACCGACAAGGGAGATGGGCGTTTTGAGAAGCTGGTAGATATATTCCAGGCTGTGTCACTGGGACAAGTCATCATCTTTTGTGAGAAGGTGCGTAATATGTACACAAAGATACAAACATGTGTGTGAATTTATGTGTAAATGTATGTATATATATGTATATGTATATGTATATGTATATATATATATATATATATATATATATATATATATATATATATATATATTTATATATATATATATATATATATATATATA